CCACGTCTGGAGCAGAATCCTTTCATCCACTTGCCTCAGTTTATTCGTGGTCGTTCCCGGGGTCTTTGACCAGTCGGGTGGGCAGGTAGTATCGGAGCATTCGCAATACGTGCACAAAACAGCAGCAACTTCTTACTGTTGCTATTGAGGTCGGTAAGGTCGTTCTTTCTGATCACACCTTTCCGTTTTTCACTATCTACTCCGATATGTGCATTGAAATCGTCTGATAGGGTGTTGGATTCCGTTTACGGCACTTCGTACATTGCTTTTTCTGCTTCCTCTGGGAAGAACTCATTCTACCTCCGAATTCGGCCTATAGACCCCTAACTATGTCAACGGTTTCCTGTTGTACCTTCTTGATTGTCACTCTCCGCAAACATGCTTCCATTCAGTGATTCTATCACCCTCGTCACGTTCTACCATAGCAGTAGCACTGGCGTGAGCGCTCGTCATGATTTCGACACCTGAATATAATAGCTTCTACACAAAGAGGCTCAGAATTCTTTCTCTTAGCATTGCGTTGACGAGAGTTCAGTTATGTCCTACCGATAGCTTGTGACCTCTCCAAGATGTTCCAGTTTCCGATTGTGAGTTCCCCCTTTGCCGTATCGTTCCCGTGGAAACTTATATTAGGTACTTTAATGGCAGTTCAAACGCCGGTGAAGTTAGTTTAGAATATCCTCAAGATTTACGGACTTTGACTGCCGGATTGTGAAGCTTGTTTTCTAACTCTGCTAAATTTTATTCTAACTGATCTTGTGCACCTGCTGAACTTTTTTTAAAGTCTTCTAGGTCTCTGATCTAAGAACCTATGACTCGGTCCAAAAAGTCACGGATGTGTATCTTCCTATGCCAGAACTGCAAGATACCGAAAATTTCCTTATCTCGCAGATGGATCGAATAATGAGGGATGAGAATGGCTAAATCTACTCAAGTTTATCCTCTTCCGCACTAGCTCTTTGGATATTTCTATTTAACATGTCTGCATTCTCATTATTAATCCTTTTCACCTGTCTTGATTCATCCTTCCTGCTATGTACTTTTTTTGTGGTTGTGATTTGTACCGATACTCTTTCAGCAATACGGCATTTAACTGCTTCGAGGTTAGTCTGTGCTAGTTTTACATGCTACTCCCCTAATTTAAGCAGTAAATATATGAATTGATTGACAGTGTTATGAAGCGATGAATGCTGTCACTGGTAAATACACATGTTGCCAAACGCTAATAAATCTTGCCTTTTCATTGTGTCTCCGGGTCACATACTCAGAACGCCTCACTTGCTAGTTCAGTTACTTATTCGAAGTTGTGATTCTGTAATACTTGCAAATTGTTGTTTTGGTGCCCTACTAGGATAAATTTTTAATGATCCATGACCCTTTAATTTTGTCACAGGACTAAACGACTTGCTTGTAGATTTAGCTATAGGTCTGAGGTACGTATTGGGCAAACGTCCCACGTAGCACACAACATTCTCTGTATGAGACTCATTAAAATACAGATTCCACAGTTGCGCTCAGAAGATCTTCACTCATCTGTATTTCTATCAGAACTTCTAGTTCTTTCGAATCCTTTTGTACATTTGCAGTACATGTTTCTAAACAATCCCAGTCGTACTTAACTTTGTTCAGTGTAACATGTTTTACACTTTTTGTTATTTGTTTTGTTTTTTATCTTATTCATATAATCCTGAGAGAAATATGCAAATCAATCTTCGTCTGATTGTTCCGTTATGTGCGATCAATTGTTTTATTTTTTATGATAAGATTCCGGTTCATATGTTAAGGTATAAGCGTTTGCTGGTGATGCCATTCAAACTGAAAAGTTGCCATGTTTCTTCGAATCAGATGTATCAAACTTTCCTTTAGGTAGTGATGCCGAAACTTCAAGTTTGTCACTGGATCTTACCAGTATCGATTCATCGAGTTTAGATGGCAGTCGGCGCTCGAGTCTCATCCTTCGGAAGGACACGTTCATCAGCGGCATGAATGCTGAAAATGTCGGCATCTTCACTGGTCCGTTGACTTTCGACAACATTCACAAGGCAATCAATCAACCTCTAGAGTACTGGAAGCAGCTAGAGAACGAACGGACAAAAGAGATAGTTGAAATGTTCACTACTCTGCCGTTCACGCGGCTCGTTGAAATTCAGAAGGAAAACATACACCTTCAAAAAGCTGTTTCATAAACTTGGATCAAGCGCTGTTTTCAGATCTTTGATGAGAATCAAGGGCTGTGCTTCGACATTTATTGATGCGAAGGCGTTTGTGTTGAATGTACCTGCAGGCTTTTATCATGGTTCTGTTTAGAATTATCTACTGCATATTTTATTTTATTAGTAATCAACCAGGAATACAGTGATTAGCTTATCAAAGCAAATAAAATCTACAATTATTCAGTGGTTAAGATTTTAAAAGTAGATGCGATGCCAATTACCACCTCACAATAAATCAGTAATCAGTACTTTTGATTTAGCCATTCATTCACCACTTCGACATGCTCACAGTAAAACAGAAGGTAGGGCAAGTCATCCTTACCGTAATCTTTTTCGAAAGAAACCTATGAAATATTTTTACCGTTTCTGGCTATCCCTCTTACAGTAGACGAAGAAATTCCCTACCTTTTTTCAGTTGCGCTCTCTTAAGGTCTTTTCAGTCAGCCTTCTTCCTTGGAACACACCAAGCGTCCGGCAAGTTCGCATTTCTTTCAACGTAGCAACTATCCTGTCGTCAATTAATGCTGTGTTAAAAAATAAGAACTATTGCAGTCAGCGAAGCTTACCCCCGGAAAGATAACTCTAAAGAGCCAGCTTCCGTGCAAATAAAAGAATTCCTCTGTAGCACAATTTTCCAAAACGGTAACATCAGTGATATTAAGTACATAATTGTTTACCTACCGTAATACAACTGTCTTTTCGGTGTTCAACCAAATAGATTTTATCAAACGAGTGGCACTTTTAATAAAATTGAAAAATAAACTATTCTGTTCAGAAAGGTGGCATATTCTGAATTTGTCAGACACTCCTGTTGGCTTTACCAGGTTCGATATTCAGCGCACGTTGATAGCTTCATTACTGGACTCACTATGTTAATTTGAGCTTCAAACCAAGACCTAGTTACAAAACTTAACCGATACCTTTTGGCCATCGGCGTGTACAAATTAGCTTGCATGGATATTAACGTGCGCAAATTACGACATGCCATTCTTCTCCGGAACGGTTTCTATTCAAATTAACGCCTATTGATCATCATCGCGATCTACTGAAATATCGTATGTTCTGCATATTGACCGCTGTGAATAAAACCGGATACCGCAAATCGCCTGGATTCCGTAGTACATAACGTCGTATATAAAGGAAACTTTACACT